ATGTCGATAAGAAATAAAATTTCCTTAAGTTCACTATCTACGTCTGCAGACGATTTTGCCATTTCGTGGGGGGGTGGTCGATTTAAAAAGAGGTGTATTAGAGATCACTGTAGACTGTAGAGTATGGAATTTTTTTTTTTTTTTCTCTTAGATATATTGAAGTGGCACTATCAGCTAGTTCATTTTCCGTGACGACCACTTGCAGTAAATGACCAATATTTCTTAGAACACGAAATAGATGCTGACCATCCTTTGTCAACCGTGCTTTCTTCTAAAGACCGAAATCGATTTGCCATAATCGCCTGGCCATCATAAAGAAGTTTTACTTCATTATTCAAAGTGAAAAATATTTTGAACATAAAATATATTGAACATTCCTCTGGCAGGCCTATGTAAATGTTAAATGCAATAAAATCTTTCTAAGGCGACCACACATTGTTCCAGAAGATTTTGGACTTCATTAGAGATGGTTGTGTTAGAAGAGTGACATTAAATATTGCTGGTGAGTAATTCTCTCTTAGAACTACTGGTCATATTTAGAGCGGTCGTCTTAGAGAAATGGTCACCACGAGGAAGTTCACTGAATTAATTTTTAATTTAAAGTCAGACGTTTTTTAGAGGTAATACAATAAGATTTAGTTTATACAATTTAAGTAGAGAAGAGGAATTTTGAATAACATCTCCTTCGGATAACATGTAGTGAAATTTGTTTTTGTGAATACTAATAATAATCTCGTTTTGAAATGCAGTTTAAAAATTATTTCAATTTTTTATGCTTTTCTAATTAGTTAATTTTTTTATTTTCGTTTAATCGCCTAAGATAAGTAATATGTATTTACGGTATATATATATTAAAAATAAAATTAAAAGAAAAAGAAGAAGCGTTATATTGTTAACAATTATTATTTTTACATTGTAACATGTATGTTCCAGGATAAAATAAGAAACCTCGTGATGAAAATTAAGCACACTATAGTTTATAGAATTAAAGAGAAAAAAAAGGTGCAATACATAAAAAGCATGATTAGAGTACTTAAAAAAAGTTCCATTTTATGAAAAGTATGAATTAAAAAAATCATATCTTAAATTTGTAGTTTCATAAATTCTTGTTTGTAATAGCATCAACAGCAGTGAGAATTTTCCACTAAGAAATTTTCTCATAGCAAAATTTATTTGGAATGTCTTATATGCATTTTTTATAAATTAGTGAAATTTTTCATGCTTCCGTTTTGAGAGTTTATTAATTTTAAAGAAATCTTAAAATACAGCGTTAATTCCCAATTACACGAAATTCTATCATTAAGCATAAAAACTTGAAATTCGTATCTTTTATGGAGATTCGCAATTTATAATGTAATGCATAGTAGGCGCTTGCTGCCTTTATGAAAAAAATCTTTACTGTTAGAAAATTAAAAGAGGAATAAAAGTTTATAAGGTATTTCTCCCGCCTTCCTAGCGTGCCTTCGTGGTGTAGTGGTTCTGCACGCTGGGTCGGTATTCCAGAGGTCCGTGGTTGGATTCCCGGCGAAGGCGTTGCTACTGTTTCATCTTGCCTACTTCCAAAAAATATCTAATGTCTCTACAAGTTAATGAAAAAGACTGTGGTGATTTATTTTCAAACTAAATGATCGATTTTTTTTTTTTTTTTCATTGTTTCGTTTACACCGGATTTCGATTAAGCTGGGTTTTAACGTATATAAAAATAAAATTTTTTTGCCCATAATAAAACAACTTCCCATTTCATCTGAAATTCTAAACTAGATGCATTTCAACTTTGTATATGCGAGAATACAGATGGCTGTCGGCCATCAATGCTCGTGATCATGAATCAGTAAAAGAGCGGAGCGGTTTTATTTTTTTTATTAATTTTTCTCGGAGCGCTGCTGAAATTCGAAATGCGTTTCCGCGGGAACAAGGAACTGATACGTAGGGAAAAACCAGCGTCCAATCGCGTGCTTGTCGGCAGCTTATCTCCCTCTTCAAAACTCCCGGTTATCGGCATGTAAGCAACATTTCTTTCTCGTTCTTGCTTCTCTTCATGTAGCATTTCTCTTAAGGTGAGCTCTTTATTAATTTAGCTTTGTTTGCACTAAAATCTGCTTATAATTATTAAGTTTTGCATTTTTACAGTTTCATTTTTCCTGGTCATCAAAATATATGCAGCTTATGTAATTAGAGAAATTTTTTTAAATGTAAAATTGAAATATTAATTGCAGACATCAATATAGAGAATTAAGTATTAGGATTATATTATACTTTTTAGACTTCAACAACTTTGTGGTTTTGCTTTCCTGATTATTGGAATATTTAGAGTAATAATAATAGATTATGAAACCTAAATTGGAATAATGACCATCAAACAGCAATAGTATATTTTATAATTTATTTTTTTATTTTATTTATTTTATTTTTTTTTGGTTAATTTATTCCTTGATAAGGCAAAGAATAAGAGAGATATCAGCCTGTAGGCAAAGTTTAAAATATATAACAATTTTAAGAGATTTGAATTTGTATTATTTTATTTTTCATGATGATCGAAATGCTCAAGTTTTAAAATTCTAAAAGTTAACGCAGCCATCAAAATTTAGATTTTATTTTAGCCTTTGATTATATTACAGTGTCAAAAGATTTCATTTACGCTTTCGGTTTCGCTTGCTGTTAACTATCCAAAGTTCTAAAATAGTATTTTAAAATTTTAAATGTTATAATTACAACAAACATCATTATGAGAATTAAGTGTTTGGATTGAATTATAATGCTAAAGATTTATAGTTCTATTGTTTTATTTTCCGTGATTATTTTTTGGGATTATCGTGATAATCAATAATAATGAATGAATTTTACACTAAATTAAAATAATAAGAATCTTACATTTAGTGACTGAACTACTCTATGATGGTAATAAATTTCTGTTTATATTGCTTTACTCTTCCTGATAACTGGTTTCACAGCAATAACAGCAGAATTTAAATTTAAAATTTATATTTTGGGGAATTTTATCATTCATGTAAAAATTTTTATGACCATTCATTTCATCGTAAAACCCATTATTGCGAAATCTATTGATCATAATTTTTTTTCATCTGTTTTCATTTAGGTGTATTTTGATCATCGTGAAATCTATTGATCCATTAAATATTATTCTAGTTCTCTACCTAATTTTTACTATCAGTTAAGACACTTACTATCAGTTACTATCAGGTCAAAATTATTGTTTATTCACAATATTTTTGGAATTACGGTTCAATTTCTTATGACAACTGCTATCCGAAGAGGACCACCTTTCAAACTGACCAGTATTTCTGAGAACATAATTCAACCACGATAAAAAAAAAACATCGCTAAAAATCATGTTCTTTGAGACCACCATTTCTAGAGAGGATTAAAATCATATGTTAATCGTGGATTGTCACTTGCGGTGATTTCACGGTACTCCGAGAAAATGGTAAACGATGCAAGCTAGTCTCAATCAATCAAAATTGAAATGCCAATTTCTGTTCTTGACTTAATTATATTTTAAGTTAATTTCAAATAAAAAAAAAAGTTATTTTTTAAGGTTACATGAAAATCTTTTTCAGGCTGAAGATAATACAAGAGAAACACAGCATTTTGCCAATTGTTAATAAGTTGCAGGTTCCTCCCCCCTCCCAAATAATAATAATAAAAAGCTCTTGAGTAGTGTGGTCTGAAATGTCTGCGATGAGGAAATGATTCATATTTATATTACACTTTGCACATGGGAAAATATACTTTATTTCCTTTGATGTTTTAGTCAACCTCAGCGATTGTGAACGTACGCAAACATTCCGCGTCACCTATTTTGCGTAGCTTCATCAGTTGACATCACACTTTTTTGGGCAGTCTCTTCAAACTAGCGAACCAATGTTATGATTTAATTCATCCTGAAATTTCTGGCGTACTCCTATCAGATTGCAAGTAAAGGAGATTACAGTTCAGTATCCTTCATTTACATTTGTCAGGCAAAGTGCCCAGTTAAAATGCTTTAAAATATTACATTCTCAAGCCTGCCGAATTTTTTTTTTTGTGTGTGTGTGTGTGTGTGTGTGTGTGTGTATGTATGTGTGTGTGTGTGCATAAAATCCAGTTAAACTTTTTATCTAACTGAAAAGATTTTATCATTTTAAAATACATCTGAAAGGAAATAATAATTGTGATAACATTCAAGTATCAAAATGGGCGTATGCTATTTTGCGATTGGCTCCTTTATTTTATAGTAACAGATAACAAGCTTCTAGGGGTGGGACAACATGAAGAATTATTTTTACTATTTCATCCTTTAAATGTTTCATTCCTGTCGAATGTCTTATCTTGTTGTGGATAACGAACTTGAGGTTTCGATAAGTTGCAGTTATGAGATTTGAAGAGTAAAGAAATTCATTATGTGAAACAACATATACGTTGCTGCTGTCTAGTCTTAAAACTGAATTTTAAAAAATAAATCTTTTAAAAAGAGTTGAAGTTAATAAGTTTCTTTTCATTTAATAGAAAGATAATCAAATGTACCTAAATTAATTTAATAATTATGAACTTTCTTTAAGATGATCATCCACAGTTCCAGGTAATTTATATTTTCTGTTGAAGTGGTTGCTTTAATTAGGTGACATTCAAGGCAAACCGTCATTTAGTTCTTCAGCAATAGGGATCAGTTTTATTAATGATAAGTTTTCATTTTAGAGAGGTGGGGGCCTCTAGAGGTTCATTATACCTTCTAAACTTATTCTTTCCTTGCAAGATGGATTCTCTCGTGGCAACCATCTCCCTAAAATGACCACCTCTAAACGTAACAAGTATTTTTGAGAACATAAATAAATGCAGATATTGATATTCATCTCTGGATGGTGACTCCATTCAAAAATGACCACATTGGTCTGGAACGATGAGTAGCCGTGTTAAAGACGGTTCACTATATTTAAATTCATTATTATTAAGAGAAATATTTTGAATTTTTTTCCCTTACAAATGTAATGATATCCTTTCAGAAAAAAATGGCAAATCCTGAGTCAAAGGAAGAGTCACTTCTTCTTCTGCCGTGGTTGATAGATCACCTCGAAAGAGAGACATTTGAAGGTTTGAGATGGTCAGATAAAGATAGCAAAATTTTCTATGTGTATTGGATGCACAAAGCAGCCGATCCGTGGACACGAAAACAAGTGGAAGTTTGCGAAGCATGGGCTAAGTATAAAGGTAATATTTCATACCAAGAATAATAACATCAACATAATAACATGCAAATATCTTGCTTCTTATTACGAAGCCAATGGTATCCACTGCGTAAATTTTATTCGATTTATTTCTTGATCAGAAATTCTGTCTGACAGCTAAAAAAAACGTTACGAACCTTACTTAGATTTAATTACATTTATCCTTTTTTTTTTCCTGATTCCTTTATCTGTATAAAAGATTTCTCGGGAAAATGAAAGAGGAATCAAAGTCTTTGTAAGTAAACAGATGGTAAGGGAGAAAAGTGGGTAACAGAAATGAGAATCGTTGAAAATTTTGAACAGCATAAGACACGAAAATATGGAGTTTCAGAAGTAACGGTTACGAGGAAAAGAGTGCATTTCTAACAATAGGAATATTTTCATTTTTCCCATTGCTGCTGACCTGTAATGTTAAACACTTTTATTAAATTACATGCTAGTTAAATAAATTTCTAAAAATACTTTTTCATTTGTTCAATATTGTCCTTTGCATATTATAAAGACTGATGGTATGAGCACCATTCTTTATCTTCGTGTCTTGTTTGCACATCTAATTTTTATTGGTTTCCTAGTAGCAAAAATACTAAAATGGAAGTGGAAGCATCAGCGACACGCACTTCATTGAAACAAATTACATTAATTCTTTTGAAATAAAGAAAAGCTTAACCAAGATGTGAATAATAATTCCACGAACATCGTAAATAACATCGGCAAAACATTGCAGTTTCAGCTAAGTATACTCTGATAAAAAAGAAACGATCAAGGGCGACTAAAATTTTAAAAAAGTTACTGAAATTAAATCTGATTCTGTAAGTAATCCCTTCAGCATTTAATGCACCAATACCAACACTTGACCATGATTGGAATGTTGTTTGCCAGGTTTTTAATTCACGTTTGCCAGACCCTGTCTACGGTTCGGCTACAAAGTTAATGTATCAGGTCTGAGCAATGAATTCAATTGTTTATATTACCACTCTGAGAAGAGGCAGCAAAATAAAGGATCTGAAATTCTGAGACAACAAATCCTGAGCGGAAAATGAAAATAATATCTTTCTTTCTCTCTCGGAGAAGGAAGTATATTGTGCACCAAGGATTCGACCTAATGTAAAGAGGCGGTTTAATTTGAAAGGCTGGGATTACTGAAAGAGAACATTTGTAGTTTTAAGGCCTTACCTAATTATTGTTTCACCGCAGCACAGCGCCAAGCTTCAATTGTAGAAACATTTTTCAAAATATTTTTTTGTCAAAAAATTGAAAAATCAGAGCTACCCTCGACGGGATTCGAACTACCCTCGTCGGGAACCACCTCATTCCTAGCAGGAAGTGCTTCGAATTACACCAAAAAGACATGTGGTAAGGAAAGAGAAAATTCCTTATACGATATTAAGAAGAAACAACATTTCTTGTTGAGAACGTCACTTTTAACATCAATCTACCTCCTTAACAGGTTTGCCATTGTGAATATTTTTTGTCCGAAAGCTTTAAAACCAAATTTAATGGTCGTTATTTTGATTCGGAAGGCGATTCAGGGTGAATCGCAGAAATTCTACACGCACGTCAAGACTTTCTAAAAAATCTCTGTTGTAATAGTTTTTGTGCCTAAATGCATGAGGGCGATTACTTTGAAAGGGAAGAAAACTAGTTTTAGGTCTGACGAGGTTTCCAATTTAATTCCATATTACTGCGCAAATGCTTGCTTAGAATTCATCGTCATGAATCATCTAAATTTTCATTATTTCTCGTAATTAGTATTTTAAGAGATACTTTACTTTAGATTACAGATATTAGCGTCTGTCTGAGAAAGTTTGGGTATTGTTTAAATATTGGAACAACCAGTAAAAATGTTGATTAAAAAAATGTTTTTGGTTGTTGTTGCTGTGCTTGTTAAATGACATAACACAGTCATTCACAATTACATAAATGACTTCGCTGGGTTCTGGAGATTTAATCACTTGTTATATAGTATATATAACAAAAGAAAGGGTCTGTTTGCGTGGTGTATGCCTTTCGTTCGTGCTGCGCGTAATCTAATAGACCCAAGGCTACGAAATTTGGTACATAGATGCATCTAGATAACAGCCAGTGCATCTCGAAGCGATTTTTTCAAAATTCGAACGAGATTTTTTTATTTTATATATCTTGATGAAATAGCATCAAATCGGTAAGCACGCAGCCATTCTTGCTCACATATAACTGTTACCATTGTTGCTGTAATCAGCACTGTTGCCACTCGGAAAAATGAGGGCAATAATTCTGTGCAGTTTTTAAATTTAATGTTTCTCTTGGACACTAGACGTTTGTCGAGAGGTTCCTGGATACGACGTTTGTCGAGAGGAAGTTCGTCGAGAGGTTTGTCGAGAAGACCTTTGTTTTCCGGTACATTTAAAACCCAGACGAAGGCTGGCCGCATAGCAGCTAGTTTATATATATATATTTGTTTGTGTGTGTTGCAGCCAAAGCCCAAAATCGGCCAGTTTGCCAATTGGCCAGCCATTTTGCATGTTGGTTAATGTTCCTGTGAACTGATAACCCAATTTTCGATCTTCTCATGATTTTGCGCTTTACCCAGCGAGTTCGCAAAATGGCACAGGTGATCGCCCAAAGTTGGAAGAAAAATGGCAAGCTATTAAATCTATTATTTATTCTTTAGTTATTATCATCACTTGTTGCAACAAGTTGAATTTCTATGACATTTGGAATTGCACAACAGTTTCTTATTTCTGTATTTACAGCAATTTTTTTAGGATTTCCAAAAAGCAGTAAAAGAACGGAATATTATCGTCACAATATAGCACCTTTTTATTCCTTCCACATAAACATTCACGCACGCCCAGGGCCGCCTTAACGCTAAACACTTGCTCAGGGACCCATGAACAAGGCTAATCCATCTATATTTTATTTCTGTGAGTGGTTATCGTATCAGATGCCCCAGCACACCGCTTTACCCAGAGCCCATAATGCTGTTAAGACGGCACTCAATATGCCTATTACCAAACCGCCTTACTTCAACGCATTGAATTTTGGCCAGAGATCTCCACTTCGGGAAATAGCATGCCAAACTAGAAAAAACACAAATCATTTCTAATAATCGGACCTGTCGATCATTTCGCAACTTGAATGGACTTCAAATTTTGGCCTTAACATATATAAATATATTGGGATAATGTTGTAAAAAGTAAACCAAAACTATTTACTTGCCTTTTTGTATTTATTTTATATATTATATCATTTATTATTCTTGCAATTTTTATGTTTTTTAGAATTAGTGTTTTGGTTTAGTTTATTTTGGTTTGCATGCATAATTCGTGTCGGGGAAGTACCTATATATGTTTGGGATTCTAAATTACTTTGGTTATGTACTTTTAATACATTTAATTTATATTTTTTCCTATAGTGGATTTCTTTTCAATATTTTTCGAAAATTACTTAAATTTTAAATTTCTCATTTTAACATATCACTATTTTTGGTTTTTTGTATTTCCTTAACCCATACCTACATATATAGGTGACGAAACACGAATTGGGTAATTGAAGAATTAGGTTTGGGGGCAACTTCCCCTTGAAAAGATCTGTCTCCTGCCTACTCAACAATTATTCACTTTATGCAAATTAAAATTTATTTTTTAAAAAATTTAAGTTTTTAAGATAAACATTTTAGGATTGTATTGTTTTTTCTTGTAATTACATGTTTGCACTTCAGTTACTTATGTTTTTTGAATTTAATGATATTGCAAATTAGTTCGTAGCAATAATTCATCAATTTATTTTGTTAACAATTGAATTTGCATAATTTAAAATTTTAATTTTACTTTATATGAATGAGATTATATTATATATTAATTCGTAATTATTGTTAGAATGATTACGATAAAATACTTTTATTTCTTTCAGGAAATAAAAAGGAAAATCCTCGTGATATTAAAGCAAATTTTAGATGTGCTCTTAGAAGTAAGAAAGAACTGAAACTAGTCCAAAAAACTAAGGATCGTTTGTTTTGGAAAATTATAGGTACGCACCTTCTTTTCTTTCTCTCTCTCACACACTCTCTGTCTCTTTGCAACGTCATGATATAGTAATCTTGATATGCTATAACCTACACTGAAATGAAAAATTAAAGAAGTGAAAAATAAAACTTCGCGCTTTCCTGTATTAATTTTGCATACAGTTTAACTACTAAGATAGGTCGGAAATAATTGATCCATTTATGATTTAGGAAGTTCCTGAGTACAATAAAACACGCAAATTTAGTATGTGTTACCGAATGCGCAGCAGAAGCGTAGCGTTAAAGTACCGATAACTATTTCTGTACTATAAATCTAGCCAGAGTAAACTTTGACTACTTTTTGTCTGATTATGCCCAGAAGAAATCATTTAAATCGGTGACGAGTGACATGAAGAATAGTAACCGAACATAATCATTCAAAATTATTCACAGTTCTAACTGACCGCCAAATATTCTTCTTCCATATTTACTCACGCAGTTATTACTTTAGAGAAAAAGGATGAGTATCTGCTCCCTAGGGATAGGGTACTTCACGGCCACGATACCGTCAGAAGAACGTTTAATGGGTTTATTATCGAAGAGAAAAAGACTGATGACAGCACAACAAACTGCTTGTAAGCCTGTTATATTTACAAGAACGTAGTGAGATTTATCAAAAGTCTCATCAGCGGATGATAATGCACGACTTTACTGAGAGATGCTTGGCCGTGAGCATGAAAAGTGATTGTATCCACACAGGCGATTGATAAGCCCGCTTTCCGTGTTACAGGTGAAAATATCGCAGCACAGCATTGTAGACGAGCGCATGGCGGAGAAAGCAACGCAAGAGGCAAACGTAGCCGTACAAAACATCATGGGAGAAAAGAAGACAAGGTAAAAACTTAGCACATTGTTAAATCTAAAACGTCGTAGTAAAAAATAAAGCAGTGCAATGTAACAAATATTTTTTAAAACTCTAAATAAAAGTTTCAAAACATCGTCGTACAAAATATTGAGTTGGGGGAGGGGAGGCCTTACAAATTATCGCATGACGAAAATATCCTAGAAATGTGTTTTACAACAGAAAAATTTTAAGTCAATTTCCTCGTAATGATTTGTAAACACAAGAGAAAACAAATAATAATTTTACCTCGATATTTCATATTTTTATATTATAACTTAACATAATTTAAGCATTCGAAATCTGAAAATGAGTAAAAATGAATGCTATGTAAAGCAATTGACAAAATTTGTATCTTTTGCACCTTCCTCTTTCTAATCTTTTTATACAATATTTTTTCATTAAAATCTACTAATATGTTTTTATAAATGACATTTAATAGTTAGCAAGATAAGTTTAAAAGTTTTCGTACCACTTTGTTTCATACAACGATGTTTTCTCTTTGCTTTCTTTTCTTCCATGTAGTACGACGACGACGTTTTTCCTGCGTTGTTTTCCCCGCAACGTTCTTCTCCGCGATGTTTTCGACGGGTATCACTTCCTGGAATTGAGCCTGACTGAACATGTTTGCAGTATGTCTGAACATAGCAGAGGAAACTTCAGAACATAGCCTCATTTTCGAAAACTCCGAGAAATTTCTTTAATGAAAATTAGCTTCCTCAAATTATTTTCAAAGCTATAATAACATAAAAATATCCCCTCGAATTTTGTGCATTGTGAAAACAAATCATCAAAATAATACAAACTTATGAAAATTTAGTTTCAAATTCATATACATTTACACAGTTATGTATTAGCTCCCTTTTTACTCGTTCCCTAGTTTTGAATAAAATAATTAACAAAACTTACTTTTGTAATTATAAGCTACAAAAATGGAAAAATATTTTCCGAATTTAATTTTTTTTTAAACGTAAAGAATAATCCCGTTCGTTTAAGTGACACTTTAGTTTTTCACTTCAGTATACATAACTCTGAATTCATTACCTTAGTCTTATTTGAGTTCCAAACCATTCGATTTTAATTATCAAGGTACAGTTTTGCGTAGTTATGGATATTAACATACATTTTTATTTTTATTTATATTTAAGGAAATCTTGAAATATTCTGAATGAAAATCATTGCTTAAAAAATCAAAGCTACTGAATGTATACTAATTCCGAGTAGTCTCATCGACTTATGACAGAAATTCTTCACTTACAAAGTTGTAATTATTCGTTTTCCTGTGATCTACTACTCAAAAGACAAAAAAGGCCTATAGACTTTCATTAAGAATATATGCAAAGATCTCGCCTTCTAACAGAGTGCAAATATCAAGCATATGTCCCGCTGTAGACAAATGTAAGAAAAGCGTTCAAATGTATTTTACCAACCTGCATATTTTCGAAACGCAGATTTTTTTAATGTGAAAGCTTATTGTGTTTTACCTAGATTAAACATTTAGTAGTTTAAAAGTGACAAATTCTTTTAATATGCAATATTGTTAGATAGACATTTTACAAATGAAGCTTTGTTCTCTAGAATTGAACTCTATTTAGAGATGAATATGACTGAAGCAATTATAAGTAATCCTTCTAACTATTCCTTTAAAAATTCCATTCCCCAGTCAGCTTACTAAAATAATTACCTCAGCTGAAAACAATAAAATTTAATGTCATGTCTGATTTCTTAGTAAATCTCACTCTTAATTTGTTTCAGATGTATTATTTCCCGTTTGTATTCAGTTAATAATTTACGACGCTCGTTAGCAGGGAAAAGATCGGCGTACATTTTTTAAAATATTTCATTTTGTAAACGACCAAATTTACTTGCTGCTAAAAATGATTGCAAAAGTTATATGAAATGAGAAATCGTACAATCAGAGTTCACACATAAAACCAGATGTAACTGGTTTTATAGGAAACAATAGCAATGTGGGAAAACTTAAATTTTCTAGATATTCTTTTGAGAATATAAATGCAGCTAATTCACAGTTCTGCTTTCCATTGCATTAAGTCTGAGTTTTCAAATGCCCATCTAGTTTTCTAACATTAGTTTGCTTGTTTCCATATGCAGATACAGGAACAGAAGCTGACAAAAACAACTCTAAAAGAAGCGTTCCAACTTCTTCATCAAGTTCAAGCTCATCCGATGAAGGAGATGCAGGAATTGCTACATTCGGAAGCAACGAAGTATGCCGTAGCTCAAAAAAACGAAAATATACGAAGGCACCTGTTTCAAGGGTATTTAAAATTCTTGCATTCTAAATATTTTACATATAACGACTTAACTCGAGTGGGGATATGAGCAGCATAAAATTAAATCAAGAAAGGTGAAATTGAATTTTCTGGCCATATCAACTACTAGCAGATTAATTGTTTATTTCAAGGAGATTTATTACTTATTTCTTCTTTTTTCAGCAACATTAAGAATATAGACTCTCGATGGTCTTTCATTTAACACTGCAAATATAATCTTCGTATTGCAAAATTACTGTTGAGCGAAACTACGCTAATAACCTCACGATCACTGAAGTTCCGAACTATTGTTTGGAAGTGGTCTTGTGGAGATGGTCACATAGGAGAGCTGAAACTTTATTTTAATTTTATTTATGTTCAAAGAACTATTGATTACCTTGGCGGCAGAAGATGTTAGGTATGAGAAGTTTTACTGTTTCGTGAACAAAATATTAAGTAATAAACTTTGGTCGGCGTTGCGGATCAGGAACTCGAAAGGCAACTGGATCTTCTGTCCTTGAGCTATCGAAGACCTTAACTTCAATTTTAAGATCATTTTCCATTTCAGAAAGTTTTATGGACCCGAAAAGCAACATTTTAAATTATTTCTTCTCAAATAATGCCTGTTAGTCATTTCGAAGAATTTATTATTACACAGAGATTTTTACATTGTCTCTCATTTATTTTTAATAATAAAATTTCAATAAAAGAAAATAATTTTAATTAGATTTAATTGCCTTAGTAACCTATTTGATAAAAGCGTACTTGAATTGTGATAATTAAAGTAAACTATCATGTAATAATGCCTTTAGCAAGCGCTTTTGCGTAGTTAAAAAATGACAGAAGAAACTCGTATTAGGCAGTACAGTTAATTGCTTCCGATTATATGCATTTTCGGAAGGATTCATGTAATTTTAGATTTTCTAAAATTTATTTAAAGATCGCAGGCAGTAAAATAGACCTAAGCAGTCAAAAGATATACTATCTGGTAAATTCTAAGGTAGGTAGGATTGAAAGAGCATTCCATATTCATCAAAATTGATGTATTTATTTTCATGCAAAGAATAAACTGGAAACTATGAAAAAGGAAGTAAAATTATTGTTATTTTACAATATTACTTACCTTTTAATTTTATCTCATATTAAAGCAAGATAATAATAAAATATTAATGCAAAAAAGAATGAAATAAAGAAATAATACTATATGGCATATTTCACTCACTCACAGAATTAAGATCAGAGATTCTCGACGTGAACATTAGATTATAAGATTTGTGTACATTTCCTACAAAAAATTACGAAGAATAGCGAGTATTATTCTTAAAGTTTCTCAAATCTCAAACATAAATCATTCATGTTTATGAAATGCACAAAAAAATATATTAGATATAACTCTTCCCACATTTCTGATATAAAAACTCTGTTATAGGAGGAAATTTATTAAGTTGGTATTTTTCTTTTTCTTTTTTAATAGCCGAAACAGTCAAGAAGAGGTAGAAAGAAAAGTATTGAAAAAGATATTACGTTGTCTTTTTCCGAAATACGTACTCACCATGACTCTTCAGCATCTTCTTCCCAGATGTCCTCAAGCATGCCTGTTTCCAATGAGAAAGTCGATCATCGCCTTACGCCTTTCCAAGCAATACCATTAATTCCAGAAATCCAAAGCATGTCTCCTTTCTGCGCAAAGTTACCCAGCGCAGATATTCAACCAGCATCACCTATCACTGACGTCCAACGAATGTCGCCTGCTCAAGTCACTCCGTCCATCGCCGACAGAACATCGCCTTTTCAAACAATTCCATCTGCTCACGAATTACAAGAAATGTCATGCGTTGAACTCCAGTCATCACCTTTTCTTGATGAACAGCGTATTATGAGCCCTCGAATATCGCCGCTGCCAAACAGTGATATACAAACAATGATGGACTTCCAGTCACCCCCTTCCTTATGTTCGACTATCAATCTAGAACAGTTGTCAACGATAACTTCCTCAAGTTATCTTTTGGGTAAGATGACACATTTCTCTCTTTCTCAGTTTTGTATTCTATGACTTGGCTTTTAAAAACAATTTCATTCTGATGTCTTAAGAAATCCCTCTGCATGACATTAAATCTTTTTTCAACCATATACTATTTTATATCGCTCTAAATTCCTTTAAATCTTTTAACTCATCACTTATATATAGTCAGAAACTTTCACTATTATGCATTTCACTTATTTTTTAACTAATCAAAGTTATTCCTTTGTCTTCGAACGTTATTTATTCCAATAAAATTTCATGTTACTGTTAACTGACTGAGTTTTGAAGTTCTTGAAACAAAGACAGAACGCATTTTAATTAAATATGATGAAATTAAACATATAAAATCTTAACATATAATAATTCCTATTGAATTTTCCTTTTATTTAACAGGAGAGCAAAGGCTAGGCAAACCCCTGCCGTCCTTCACAACTTTCAATCACCAAAATAGACTGACGCCACCTAAGCAGTCGAAAGATATATCTGGTAAATACTTTTTACGTTTCTAGTTATTTTAGCACTTTCTATTCAGGATTTGAAAGTTATGCGTTTTCTTTTAATCCCCTGAATTTGATTTGACCATTTCTTTTTAAATATATGCTTTATGATTGCCTTCCTTTTGCGTGTAATGTAAGATACAATACTAAACGTTCTAAAATTGGGAATACATTACATTATCGAAAATAGGAACTGGTTTCAAATGAAATGTAATGTTCGCCAGAAATTTCAATACATAACTTATACAATTAGTTGCCCACCAGAACCTTAATGTACTGTGAGATATTCGTGAATAGGAGAATGAATATTTTTGCAAATGGAAGGGAATGTAATTTTAAAGTTTATTAGACACAGCAAATACTTTAACCAAAAGGGAATCCGAATGTTTTCCAATGTAGTTTACATTAATCAAAAATATGTGCCTGCAACTAACTGTACTAACTGTTGTTAGGTACAAATTGCAAATGTCTTTTAATAATTAATTAAACTTCAATCAAATTTTCTAGTGCAACATTCAGATATTTGTCTGATTCTCTTTTCCAGAAAAGATAAATGGCACTAATCATGAAAATCGAATTCGATTTTGTGATGAACAATGAAATATGTAGCATTTAGATAGTTAAATTTAATAAATTAGGAATGTAAGACGTAGAGCATTCAGTTTACCTTGCATTTCAATCTGTGTATTTAAACAAGAGTTAGAATATGCGTATGTAACGAAAAAGAAAAAATTTAGATCAATTATTACGTTGTTCTCTGCACAAAATTGCTTTTGCTTATCATAGATTTTAATCAAGTTCACTTAGTATAATTCAGGCTCTTCTTAATTTGTGAAATTATGTACACTTTCTTTTTACTCAGATAAATTTTAAATTTTTATCAAAACAAATATGCATGTTTTTTTTTCCTCTGATTAAATAATAACTTTTTCCTTTCAATTTAAGTCACTGCCGACAATAAAACATTCAGTAGAAACATTAAATTGCTGTCCTTTTAATATTATCGTTGAACATAACAAGAATTTTAAAGTCTCCTACATCAAATAAATACCTACATTTTATTTTATTTTTGAATATCCTAGATAATCTAAGAAATAGTAATAAAAAACAGAAATTTTATTCTGCATATAAAATTTTCAGAATATGTTAGAATGCTTTTTATGTTAAAAATATAAATTCAAATTAACTGTGGTAATGGTTAGGTTAGGTTATTTAATTACGGCAAAGCCTCGAGGTCTATCTGCCTAAGGGGAGGGATGCCTTCGTGGAGGACTTTCTAAGGGGACTTGGCTCGTATACACGTTAAACATGGGGAAAACCACGAAAACACCCATTCAAGCCAGCTCGTTCGCGGGGTTCGAACCTCGGACCGAACTACCAGTATTCAGCGACTTTACCGCTCGGCCGCTGGTGGGCCTGTGGAAATGAAAACCGCATCAATGCATTATTAACTGTTATACAATACATGTATAAATGTATGTTTCATATACAATACATGTATAAATGTATGTTGTATAAGAAATAGAATTTAATTAAATAAATTTAATTAAAATTTAAAAACAAATTTAATTAAATAATTCTTTACGCCATTGCTGCAAGGAATTAAATTTTAATTTTAACAAAAACGTATAAAAGTAAAAAAGCAAATTTAAAGCCAAAATTTAAAAAAATAAAAAAAAAAAAAAAAAAAAAAAAAAAACGCAAAGCAAATTTAAAGCAGGAAAAATTTAGAAAAAAGTGTAAACATATAAAAGATTTAATTCTCGAACTAATCTACAATATCATTTAAATTCAGAAGCATAAGCAAATCAAGTGCAAAACCAATCCATGAAAATAAATTCACTAATTTAGTAAATTAAAATTAATCCAAACAATTTTTTAAAAATGCATAAGTGAATGACTGTTGAGCAGGCAGGAGACAGACTTATCAAGGGGAAGTTGCCTCGAAACCTAACTCTCCAATCATTCAATTCGTGTTTCGTCATTCATGCAGGCAAGGGTAAAAGTCAAAACCAAAAGTAAAAAGGTGAAGAATGTCCAAAAAGAAATACCAATAAAGTGGTACCCTTAGAAATTAGCATTTAAGAATTAAAGTTCTAAAAGGGAAATACTAATGAAGTCTTTTGAGAAACAAGCAAGTAAAGTCAAGTATTAAATTAAACTTTTTAAAAAAAATTAAACTTTTCAAAAAACTAATTTTTTTTATAAAAAATAATCTAGAAACTAATGTATTTTAGAAACCCTTGTCTACAGAAACCACCCCGACACGAATATGCATATCAATAAAAAGAAACTAAAAAAGAATTAGACATAATCCATATAAACCAATAAGAAACAAAAAGAACTAATTCACAATTTTTAAAAAACAAATATATATTTAAAAACATAATTTCATATATAGAAAATACTTAAATACTACATAAAAAATTTTAAAAAATACTTAAAGCAAGTAAATATTCAGTTTTAATTCTAACTTACCTACTAAATGAGCGTTGGGGTCTGCAAAAGTGTTTTAAAGGAGAAGTGTGTTCTTCAAATTAATTATATAGATGGCGCTTATGTAGGTAAAGTTGAGTACCAAGCTGCTATCTTTGTTATATTAAAATTTTTTTGCAAACATTAATATTAAAATATAAATAAATCTAGAAAAAATTAAAAATTAAAAATCCTAAAGGTATGTAATTCAATTTTTAATTTTAACGATAAATTATTTAGGGAGTTAAGCCAATCTAGATATGTAAGCAAACTTACTTCTCTAGATGACTTCAAGCAAACTTATCTCTCTAGATTGGCCTAACTCCCTAAATAATTTATCGTAAAAATGAAAATTTGAATTACATACATTTAGGATTTTTAATTTTTAATTTTTTCTAGATTTATTTATATTTTAATATTAATGTTTGCAAAAAATTTTTAATATAACAAAGATAGCAGCTTGGTACTCAACTTTACCTACATAAGCGCCATCTATATAATTAATTTGAAGAACACACTTACTTACTCTCTTTTAAAACACTTTTGCAGACCCCAACGCTCATTTAGTACGTAAGTTAGAATTAAAACTTACTATTTACTTCCTTTAAGTATTTTTTAAAAATTTTTATGTAGTATTTAAGTATTTTCTATATATGAAATTATATTTTTAAGTATATATTTGTTTTTTAAAAATTGTGAATTAGTTCTTTTTGTTTCTTATTGGTTTATATGGATTATGTCTAGTTTCTGTAGACAAGGGTTTCTAAAATAGATTAGTTTCTATAGTTTCTAGATTATTTTTTATAAAAAATTAGTTTTTTTTAAATTTAATTTTTTAAAAAAAGTTTAATTTAATACTTGACTTTACTTGCTTGTTTCTCAAAAGACTTCATTAGTATTTCCCTTTTAGAACTTTAATTCTTAAATGCTAATTTCTAAGGGTACCACTTTATTGGTATTTCTTTTTGGACATTCTTCACCTTTTTACTTTTGGTTTTGACTTTTACCCTTGCCTGCATGAATGACGAAACACGAATTGAATGATTGGAGAGTTAGGTTTCGAGGCAACTTCCCCTTGATAAGTCTGTCTCCTGCCTGCTCAACAGTCATTCACTCATGCATTTTTAAAAAATTGTTTGGATTAATTTTAATTTACTAAATTAGTGAATTTATTTTCATGGATTGGTTTTGCACTTGATTTGCTTATGCTTCTGAATTTAAATGATATTGTAGATTAGTTCGAGAATTAAATCTTTTATATGTTTACACTTTTTTCTAAATTTTTCCTGCTTTAAATTTGCTTTGCGTTTTTTTTTTTTTTTTTTTTTTTTTTTTTTTTTTAATTTCGGCTTTAAATTAGCTTTTTTACTTTTATACGTGTTTGTTAAAATTTAAATTTAATTTGTTTAAATATAAATGTATGTTTATATTTTTATTAGAATGGAAAAATATATGCTTCTGATCAGTTTAAATCATTTAAGCTAATAAATTAAAAGCATTTCGGCTTTTGTTAAACTAAAATTTTGTACTATTACTCTGTCTAATGAAATAGTAAAACTTGTATTTGAACTTAAACTTTCTGTTTGCACCAGTGAATTCATTAAAATTATCACATGCATAGATATCTTATATACGTTCACGTGTGTGTACAGAATATTCACTGAATCGTGACTCCAGACAGAAATTATATGTTCTTGCTGTTGTCAGACCTACAGAAGGCCACGATCAATTCTAATTCATTTTCTACAGTGAGGATTATCCAGTTTGGAGTATAAAAACAGTCTCTACAAAGTTTTCATAAAAGAATGCAAGTATATTTAAGTTACTTGTTTTGCCATCTCTGATTCAGGAACTACTGGGACGGACCCTACACCTCCATATGAGGCGGGAGGCCGGGAAATCTCAAAAAGCCCTCACAAGGGAGCCGTCGTTGCGTACTCGTAGACCGCTCGCAATGGAATTCCACTTCACTGCGGAGAAGATTTAAATATTTTGAACTCTCTCTTAATTCTTTCGCATTAAGAGGACAAACTTTATTTTCCTCAAACATCGAAAATGTCCCTGTGTACGAATTTCTCTTGGATTGGATTTCCTTCCGCCATGACAAGTAGAACGCTTGTCATGGGGGAATGCTTGTACTAACAATTACCTAATTAGGACTTGTGCTAACAATTACTTACTTTAGGGCTTGTACTAACAATTACCTTATTAAGTAAAGCGGCAACTTCTTTCTTGGAAGCTTTCTCCATTGTGTGCAGTTTCCCCTTAGGATTGCAACTTTGGACATCAATAGCTAAGCATACAAAGTAAACATAGGAAAAAGAAGGTGCACTAAAATAACAGAACTAGTTTTAGTCGCTTCAAAAGAATGATTGGCGTCTTATTTAACAACTCCCGAAAGCAATGAGCAGTGCATTAACATGATTGGTGGAAAGCACTAGGTAGAAAAGGAATCGTAAGCGTTCGGGTGACCTGCCGATGTCTGAATGGTCGGGCGTTTGGTGCGACTTCCATGTGAGAGAGTTAACACCTTCATTAAACCGGCAACCCAGGGTCACCATTTCCAGGGGTACGGAAACCACAAAGGGCAAAGAATTCTATTGAAGAACCACACTTCTGGCCGTCAGGCCACTCGAATGGCCGAAGCCGCGACCGTCCGGAACAGAATTGGCTGCCCTTTCTGGCCATTGGAACTGGTTCCGTATTATTGTGCTCTCAGACCCGCTGTTGCCATAGTAAAATACTAAGCCAGTGGTACGTAAACCCAGTAGGTCGAAGGATATAGTTGTGTCTAATCAACAGAATTGTCAAAGACACTGCGTAATATCAAAAATGCAGTTAGTTGTAATCCGGTTCAGGTTGCTCGTTAATCTCAGAATCCAGTTCGGAAGACTCGTAAAAGATAATTAAAGCATCAGTGTTTAAGAACTGAAGCAAAATCGAAAAACCAGGTAGTGCAACACCAATTTCCCATACAGCAACGTTACCAAAGTTGAATCGAATTTACAGGGGACTAAGCGGATATTCTACTGGGTTTTGCAATAATGCAATTCCATTGTAACTGTGTATCGTACTATGGTTAGAAATCACTATACTGAATTAAATTTCAACTGAGCGTGAATTTTAGTAGAGAAACTGCAAGCGCACTCCGATAATGTTAAGACATACAAATGTGCTTCCTGAATGCCAAAGTTTAACATGATCGACCATTCGTGAAATATTTTGAAACACACGTTAGCACCAGTTTCTTTGTTCAATCGCTATAAATACTTCGCAGAACGAAAGTTTAGATATCCATCTCGATACTTTCTAGCACTTTACTGAGTCGATTACAACTCAGTTTCAATGTTCGTCAGAGAAAAAAGGGAATTTACCAAACACTTGTAAGAGGTCGCAATTCAGTGAATATACTAAAAACACACATACAATTAAAAGTATATTTTCTTTTATACGTTTTGAAAATTTGAATAAAATAAATTTTGATAACATATAAATATCTATTAAAAACAGTAACAATTTTTTTTTTTTTTTATAAAATTTGCTTCGCTGTGTAGATAAGAGATCTGCCTAATCTTTAAAGCATGCGCTTCTAAAATGATAAGTGGAAAGGACTCATATGTTTCTCTTCTCCATCAAAATAGCTTATGGAGAGGATCTGACTTTGCAAGAAGAGAGATGCAGTTGGAAATCAACAACAGATGCATCGCAATTCTACCAAAACGCAAAGCAGCAGGATAGGAGGTTGCCATTCATTTACATGAGTAACTCACCTTCAGCAAACGAAGAGCAGCTGGTTCCTTCCACAAGCCCAATGAACTTAAATTTGTATTTTGATAATAATAACTTTCATTCGCCGGCCAAGAATTTTCAAGAAAACATGTTATACTCTCCATTATATGAACCGAGTTTTGAACTTTTGAGCGACAGTCCAATGCCTTCACAAGATTCACAATATGTTGAAAATTCAGACGCAATTTTAGAAGAATTTTACAATTTCTCAAGCCTTTTCACGGAATATGTTGGTAAGTGTTTCATTATTGTGCGTAAAGTTATGATATTATTCCAAAATAGATAAAATGTTTGCAGAAACACGCAATCAATGTTTCTAAATTTAAATTAGTATTGAATTCATAATTGAAGCTCTATTATTTCATATAGAATTCTACTAAATATACCCCCATTAGCATCTGTTTAAATTATTAAGACAAAACTATTTTATCAGAGGATTTACGTTATCAAATTGTGTATACTCAGTTTCTTTTTCTTGAGATCAGCATTGTATTTCAGTCTCTCAATGTTTTGGTGGACAGTTAAGCAACAATAAAACTAAATATCATAAAATTTCTAAGGGTATAAAAATTCTAAGAGTACATTCACAGAAGTATAAAAGGTACAGTGGTAAACCTAAAAATTATAGATACAAAGAAAGAAACCTATATTGTAGGTTATAAGTCCCGTGTAATTTGCTCTCTTATATGATTTTTTGCATCTACATTCTATCTGTATTTTTAAAAATAAATAATCGTAGGATATGATATGTTTGTAACAACTAAAGGGAGAACAGTGCTAAATACTCCTTATCAAAATGCTTTAATCAAGTCAATACATTTACATTTCTTTAGGACATATTATTTCCATGACAATCATAAACGTAAGGTAACAAAAACTTACACCTACTTTTTTTCCTTAACGATCCTAGTTTTTTAACATTGTACACATTCCTTACCAACAACATGAAACCAGTACTCATTAAAACATCGACTCCGCCTGATGTTGACAGAACGAATTGCAGACCATGACTGTTACAACATTAATTGCGACTTCGTTTTAACTCTTTTGAGTCGATTAATAAAACAGTGTAAATATGCAGGCAACATATCCTGGTAACAAGTAATTTTTAAAGATGTTTCATAAACATAGAAGGTCCCAGTGACTCACAGGAGCATTTATCCTACTCACAAAATCTCCATCGCATAGGACAGAACCAACTTAAAGATTAGTCCACGATCGTGGGAAATAGAATTTGTCTGACCATATAATTCAGCGTGATTCTTCAGAAATTTAATTTTGATGTTCCACGTACAACATAAGACATACAGTTCTCATTTATTGAAAGAGAAAATCAGCAGTGTCACACAAATAAGCCGTTGGATTCTGTAGTGTATTATTTACATTTTGCTGCCACCTTCCTAGCCGAAACTCATTGGGTTTCTGTTTTTGAGCCTAATGTGATCTGCCCTTTACTCAATTCTCAACAATATCTGTTGAACCCATTCATAAAGGTCACACGGGCAACCAATATTTGCTCACTAGCGTTACCGCGTACATCAGTATTAATATATCTGCGGTAGATCATTGATCCAGCTGCTCTTGAGAACTGTCAAAAACTCCACCAAGACACTCCAGAGGACTTTATGTCACTCCAGAAAGGGAATAATCAATCTTTCTTTCTCCAAATGTGCACTGCCTTCAAAAAGATTAAGAAACAAATATCTTTTCTACTACAGTATTACAAAAATCAATTATATGAATATCGCATAAAATTTAGAGAAGAGCTAAAAGATAAAAGTAATAAAAAACATGCGCGAATAATTATTCTTATTTGTTTAGGGAACGTTTGTATTTATTTTAAATTGCAGGCATGGGGGATACATTTATAAAAATAAACTGAGATAAAGCATTTGTGTTTATTGATTTTTTTTAATATTGAAAACGACGTTCCAGAGAAAAAGTTTGTCGTAGTTAGTGTGTAAAATGGGGAGTAGCTGATTAGATGGAAAAGGTTTGTCGCAAGGGGTTTGTCACAAGTTGAAGCAACGAAGCAGCAAAATGTTAGATGTAGTGTTACCCCCTGACTATGGAATCAGTTTCTTAGGAAATGTGCAGTGTCACACTAACCAAAGTCCCAAACCATTCACCGACACCGAGTACTTCTAAAGACCACTTCCTGACTCTTTCGGCTAAAAGACGATGAAGCACGATTGTGCGTCAGCTTATAGTTGATCATTTTATAGCCTCAAAAAGAATACTTACTTCTACTGTGAAGAAAACACTGCACATATAGAGAATATTTGCTAGAAGACTTAACTATTTGTATTCCGCCTCTGTCTTCAAACAGATCACTGCGGTTGAGATGAATAAGAGAAGCAGAGAATACTGGCAATCATTACGCTTCACAAATGAGTCCAAATTTTATACAATTTGATTTGCGTCATATAAAATGCATTCACCTGGGATTTATCTGAGCTAACGCAGTCAGTTCCATTTGTCGACTAGGTTCGCTGTACGTGAAGTTCAGAATTTTTTTAACTTTCTGCTCTAGGAAGAAATGGCTTTGTAGCGGCTATGCCAAATGTCTCCGTTAGCTCAGTTAAACCCCAGTGTGAACAGTCCCTTAGGATCTGGAGAATGCCAGAGACGAAGCTACAATATCATCATTTGGTCAGAAATATGTTTATGCTGCCACACTGCTTTGCATATGCTCTTGTCACAGTTCAGACGCCTAAAAACGACATCTTTGATCCATATGTGCTGATGTAGTCGATGATTTCTCTGTGTTAATAGATGATAACGTCTATCCTCTCAGGGTTAGGTTGTCTACCGATACCTACACGAATAACATATTCAGCGTATAAACTAACAATTTTATCGATCTTTATCCGATCGAGAACATTTAGGAATACATAGCCAGAAAAGATTACTTTGTTTCTTCCTGCAACATCACTTGAAGAGATGCAACGAGGTTAATGTTTGTAAAGTAGTGTATGAAGGGGTATTATTGCTAAGGTTGCCTCATACACCCATGAATTTTATTTCAGTATTTGGGAAGCCCAGGTGTTCGCTCGTCTATAGTTTGCATTTAGTTTCAGTAAGCGCTAATCCGCCGGAGATACTTCTAATATTTTGGTCACTTGAATATATCATAAAATAACGAGCACAAAATTTCTTTCTGCCATATAATTACGAGCTCCCGAAGACCATGAAAAATCTAGTAAAAAAAAAAAAAAAAAAAAAAAAAAAAAAGAGTTAATTATACTCTAGAAATTTAACAATTTGTAATCTACATTAAAGTATAACTGAGGATTCGGTATGTCATTGATAAAATTTTGCTCCGTCTACATTTTTTAAAATAGAGAATATATTTAAAAAGAAATAATGAAAATGGTCAAACGGAATTCAGATTTGATTAAACTGTATTTTTCTTTCAAATATCCCCTGCATCGAAGAAGATAATTAATAAATCTTTTACATTTGCTTCATACGTTTATATACCCTAGAAGACAAATATATAATTTTCTTCGACAATTCTATCCTAAGAAATATAATAAAATCTTTTATTATTATTATTATTATTATTATTATTATTATTTTGTTATTTCTAATTATTGAATAAGAAACAATTTTTGTCCATAATTTATTCTCTCATGGTAATAAGACATTAATGTGTATGTACTAGTAATTTCTATAAAACTCTTTTGCTTGTTTATAGAAAAATATCTGCATAAAATTAGAAATTACTGATGCAACAGCTAGTTGTGAATTAAATTGAAAAATGCTATAATGCTCGAAACTTAACCATCAACTTCAGTATTTCAGTTAAATTCAACAGCATAGTATAAGAAAGTAAGATAAATATTGAAAAGCATTGATTCAAACATGTATTAATAAAAAGTTAAATGAAAATTTACTGGGAAAAATACTTGCCTGATTGCTTAGCTATACAGAAAATTATTACTTATAAGGTGGCTAATAGCTTAGAATTGCTTTCGTGGAGATTTTATAAAAGAAATTAGATAATATTTACATAACCTATGCTGTTTCATCTCCTATGGGAAACATGAAAAGAAATAATTTTCAGCCAAATTTCTTATTAATAACTCTTAATGAATAAATAATATATAACTTTGTAATTAAAATTCCTATACTTATTTTCTGTTTATATGCCTATGTATACATAGACCGAAAAGCAATGAATGAATGAATAAAATGCTGGTACCAACAGAATTCTCTAGTGAAAAGATCCTCCGATGATAAGCAGGAAAAATCTAACGCAGAAATCGAAAATAAATAAATAAATAAATAAATAAAAAACAGAAATTAAAATTAATACACTTAAAAACTTGGAAAGAAAACTAAGATAAATGTAACGGACTTATATCTTAATAATGTACTTAATTTCTTTCCGTCTTGTAATTTATATTATACGTAAATTGTTTAAATTTCATCTACTACCGAAAATGTTTAATTTTGTCTATTTCTAAAGTTACATTTCATAAATGACTTATTAGATACTACTTCAGAGATAATAATTGCTTATTATCCAGAAATCTTTTATCTAAGTTTTGTAACTTTTCTACCGGTGATGAATTGTACATAAAGCTTTCTTTTCTGTTACAGATTCATGAACAAAACGAAGCTTTGGCATAATCTTATCTGTATAGTTTTCCATTTGAAGAAAACCATCTGCATACTCAGGATGCAATTATCAGACTCAGATTCGGACATTTAGACTTTTCAGAATGGTCAGATTTATACCCGGGTTGTAAATAATGTAAATACTTCAAAATGAAGAAAATTATTACATATATATAATTCACTGATTTTACAGTTTGTAAATATTAATACATGAAGTTTTATGGAATATATAGATATATATAGTGCCTTAAAAATTTATGTATGATTAATTTTCTTTCCAATATGCTTTTTGTTTATATATATATATCCGATCAATGACAATGATTACATGTTTTAATTTTTCCTTTTACAATTGAAATATTATTCTTCGTGATGATTTAACTCCGGTCCCCGTTAAAACATTATTAACATTTTGCTTTCAAATTACTTCAAAACATCTTTCAAAATATAACTTACCAGTATGGATGCACACTTTTAAAATAATTCTACTTTAATTAAACTTAGGAGATAATATAATCAATTAATCAATACTGTTTAGGAAATAAATTATTATTATTATATATATATATATATATGTAAGATAAAATTATATGAATCAGAATAACTAAAAACATTAATTCTTCCTCTTTATTCAAAAATCGTAATAACGTATCTGCATTGCGTCATTCAAATTAATCATGCGATCTTACGTAACCGTTAATACCAGATGCCTCTTGACAACCAATCACCGAATTGTAAACCAAAACTTTTCTCTTCGCGTGCTTCCATCTGTCATAACTACGCACTTCAGCTTTTGCTCTGTACTGTCCTAAGATGTAATTTCGCTGGCTTGCTTTCTATCCCAACAATATCAAAAATGTAAATCATCTGTGGAAAGGCACGACTAGAGTGCCAAGTGATTGTGGCCACAAATATCAATTGGAAATAAAAATGGAATTAAAATCGCTTCTACTGCCATGTTTTATTTACGAAGTCAACACATTAGCTTACGACGCAATCAGATTACTTCCTCTTCAATATAGGATAACTACGCATCTACAGTGTTCCGTCCTTCATTTCCTTGTGCTTTTATTATGACAATAAAGCCGGTAAGGATAGTTTCCTGCAGCCTGAAACCTCAATGGAAAATTTAATTCAGCTCTTCAAATCATCGTTTTTGTGATAAATCCAAGATAATGTGAAAGAAGTGAATCATCAAGTTTGTTTTTTCAGTGTGTAAAAAGATACAGATCATTCTTCTGCTGTGGTGTTTTGCAAGTGCTTCAAAAAAATAATCACGCGTAGTGTTTACAGATTGAAAGTAATCTCTCGATAAATTGAGAAGTTCGAATGCCTAGTGAAAAGGAAATCATCAGTGAATTACCGTTTAGGAATTCAGCATTACAGCGTTTTCAAGGTCGATCTGAGTTAGTGTTTGCAAGTGTGTGCGACAGAAAATTATTTGCACTTCTGCTTTTTCAACAGCTTAAAGTGTATTACATTCGTGTGAATTTAGCTCAGGAACTAAATTATTTAATGTGCTGAGGATTCTATAGTTTTCATTTCAACATTGGTTAAAATTTCTGCAATTTGTTATGAGAAATTCTTGTTCATTAATTTTTCTAATTTTTCATTATTATGTGTGAGCAAATTAAGTAACGAAATTTAAGCTACTTAAATTATTCATAGGGTATGATATTAAGATTAGTTTTTATGTTTTTGAAATTTTGTTGAGAATTTTGAATACGAATTTTATAACTATTCTAAAAATGAAGTTGGTGTAAAAAATAAGTGAAATTATTACAGATACGTAATATGAAATTATGGTAAATGCATGTAAAATTTATGGGTGATTGTATGTTAAGTACAGTGTATGTCGAGGGAGTACTGGGTTCCTAAAACAGAAGCCTGTAATTACCTCTGTACAGTTGTTCCTTTTACCCTCTTCATGCAAGATAATGTTGGAGGCTCTCATTTTATGAATGCATGTAAATTTTTTATATTATTATAATTATATATTTTTTTTATTATGGAATGTATTAGTGCAGTTCTCAAAGGCCAGTTACCTTAATGCAAGGAACGGAGGCCTTTTCAAGTAACTGCCTAGGCACCCTGGGCCACTAGTGCAGAGAACAAACACACTGGTTAGCTCAAGAGGACAGCCCTATTGATGGATATGTTTGTTTAGAAGTATTGCGAGGCTTCCAGTTTGGTAAAATCAGGAATTGTAAATGAAAGATGATAACGGTGAAACCATAAATTCTGAAAATCTTAATCCTATTATTATATGATGTTAAATTATAATTTATCAGTATGGATATAAGTATCATAAATATTTATGTGCATTACATTTGATTATAAGTAATAATTATGTAAAAGTTTATTTTGTGATATTCTGTAATAACAAGAACCTTCCCTGAAGAATTATGATTATGTGAACTCTCAAACAAAAAGACTTTTGGACTGAAATGCTGAAAAATTCAATAGGACTCTAAAAATTAAAAATTTATTAAAAAAAATTGATATTTATAAATTATACTTTACAGGACAAAAATTTTATGATTTATGTGTTTTTTTTACATTTGCTAGTGCTTTAACTATTTCTCTTTCAAAAGGCTTCTCTGTCGCTACACCTTTTTCTTTTTGAAGGGGGGAATATGTAAGATAAAATTATATGAATAACTAAAAACATTAATTCTTCCTCTTTATTCTAAAATCGTAATAACTTCTCTGCATTGCGTCATTTCTAGATCACTCTATGGCCCGCGCAACTCTGATGACGTAATAATTAAGAACTGAAACTGACCTTGTAAACCAAAACTTTTCTCTTCGCGTGCTTCCATCTTTCATAACGACGCACTTCAGCTTTTGCTCGCTACTGTGCTCTTATTATGACATATATATATATATATATATATATATATATTGTAATTTGATAAATGTAAGGTAAATAAAAAATATTATTTTTTTTTAATTATCTCTTTGTAAAGTACACTCAAAAGTATTTTTAATAACAGTGAGTATTTTTATGAAGCTCAAAGGCTTGTGAATAGAAAGAAACGCATTGTACAGCAGATTATAGAAAAATATATCGAAGATGAATTTGCATTTAGAAAGAATAGTTAAATTTTGTTACTTTCCGTGAAGACAGACAAAAATAAATAAATAAATAAATAGACGTAAAAAAGATTAACTCTGAAAACACTGCAATTATATAATTTTCTTAAAATAACAGTGTAAGGTATTTCTTCCGCTTTCCTAGCGTGCCTTCGTGGTGTAGTGGTTCTGCACGCTGGGCCGGTATTCCAGAGGTCCGTAATTCGATTCCCGGCGAAGGCGGTTGCAAATTTTTCATCTCTCCGGCTTTTCCAATTAACCTAATGTCTCTACACTGGCGCCCGAACTAAAAGGGTTGTGGATGATGATTCTCCACACCCTTAAAACCCTAGTCGCCCTATAAAAAGGGGAGTATGTAAGGTATTTCTCACGTTTTCCTAGCATGCCTTCGTGGTGTAGTGGTTCTGCACGCTGGGCCGGTATTCCAGAGGTCTGTGGTTCGATTCCCGGCGAAGGCGGTTGCTAATTTTTCATCTCTCCAGCTTTTTCAATTAACCTAATGTCTCTACAACAGATTCCGTCTTTGATACGCAGTGAACGGAAAGACCAATCAAGTCTTTAATGAAATGGTAAGCACAACAATAAACTCGATTGAAAACAGCGACTAGTTCAAATATGATAATATAATGTACATATTTTTTTAACTTTAAAATACACGTTTTAGTTAAATGCACAAATTTTTTTTTTTTTTTTTTTTTTTTTTTTTTTTTTTTAAATCTGTAGCTACAATAGAATTCATATGGGACTAAAAGTAAAATTATAAGGTTGCTAATAACGGCCAGTTTCATATAAAAATCCTCAATATTCTAGAGAAATTTTAGTAAAATATGCAAATGTATAGAAAGTTTAAAGCATTGCAATCTTATTTTCATATTCACCTTTAAATCTAACATTTGGAACAGTTTTAGATGACACAATTACAATGGTCAACTATGTAGTTTAAGAATTAATCCCTAAAATTTCAAGATACAGAATATAAAATCGTATATTTAACAATTTTATAGTATGTTCAAAATAGACATGTTAAACAGTAGGAGACTTTTATGCTTATTTAATAAAGGAGACGACTTAATTATTCAAGACATTGTTCGAGGTTAGTATAAACGCCCTCAGTAGAATCTTTCATAATTTTTCGTGAGATATGTTACCTTTCTCTACCATGTAGTTATCATTCACTTGCTTTGCCAAATGTTACCACTGCAAGAAATATCGCATTCCAATATTCTGGTGACTGAAAACCTAATTTACCAGTGACCAATGGGTTAGATGGTAGTCTGATGACTACCGAGGTCATCTGTTAAGTCAATGGTTTCCTTCCATTAAATTTAATTTTACCATTCGATTTAAATTTTCTGCTTCGCCTTGCAGTAACATGGATTGACCGCCAATAACCATAGATCACTAGTAACGAAACCGTAGATAACCAGTATCTTTCGGTTCCACTTTAAAATTGTATATCTTAATATGCTGCACTACTTCATACCGATGGCCCGTGAGTCGACAGAAAGTAACGATCAACCTGTAGGTCTCCATAATAAACTGCCATGAACAGCACAGGTTTTCTTTTCTTTTAATTTTAAAAGCAGTCTGAATTTATTTCATCTCCCCACATCAGTGGCACAAGGTTGACATCACGTGATGCCGTTAACACACCACCAATGACCACTGGTAATCAGTACGGGCCTCGAGCGAGCCCTCGAGAGATTAATTTTATCACTACCTTGCAAGCCCTTGCTCCTTTTGTTCATTCTTTTATCAAATCAAGAAAAAAAAAAAAAAAAAACACATGTTCTGTGTTATAATCACCATATGACCGATGTTAATCTTTCTCTTCTTTAGAATTAGGATCTCGTTTGATTTCGTTTACATTCGGTCGAATACAGTGTAAATATTCAAAAATTTAAATAGGAACTGGAAAATATCCATTGTTTTCAATAAATTTATTGTTGGGTGTCAGATTGTTTAACGTCAAGGCGATGGATTGAAATTCTGTTCTAATTTTTACAGCTAGATAGTAATAAAACACAACAAATACAAGAAGATCCTCTTTGATTGTATATGTCTAGTTTAATAACAATCTCATTAAATGTGAAACCTTTAACAGAATTTAAGCCAGAGCTTTAAAACACTTTTATAAACTCACTTTTTGGTCTCAG